TATATTTGATGATATTAAAGAATTGTTACATTTTTTGGTGTGATAATAGTAGGTTAAAAAAGATCTTATCTCAAAGATATAAATGTTTATGGATGAGATGTTCTGGCATCTTGGATTTGTTTTAGAATAACCTAGCTTGCTGTGGCGGTAGGTAATGTGTGTGCGGGACTGCGGGGGCTGGGGAGGAGGACGCGAGCCAGGGTTGGTAATTGTGGAGCCGAGTGCCAGCTCCGTGGAGGGCTCATGGCACTGCTCTCTCTACTTCGTGTTTGTGTGAGCATTTCCATAATAAAAAGGGTCTTCAGAAACAAAAGACTTGACTGATCAGTAATCGCATCCAATGGTTTTTCGTTACTGTTCACGAGCCAGCAAAACTGACGGTAGATTAGGTTCCGCGGAGAGTTCTAGCTCCTCCGCCAGGGTGTTGCAGGCGATCGACTTAATGCTCCACAATGGTCCAAGCATTGTGCTGGGACTCGGGGACACGCAGGGCTCGGCCAGGCTTTGCAGCGGAGAAGACGGGGCAGAGGGCAAACCCACAGACAGCAGTGAGGAAATGAGGGGCGGGACCCGGCCCTGCGAACCACGCAGGCGACCCAAGTGGGTCAGACCCGGGTGTGAGACAGCAGGGGATGGGGCGGGCACTCCCTGCCTGAAGGGTTTCAAATTCCATTTTGTATAATGTGCTGGTCAAATAAAAGGGCCCAGCCACTGGCCAGGCTTGAGGAACCGGCCGGAGGTCATGAGCGGGGCACAGGACACGCGGGTGGGAGCCTGGGCCCGGCACGAAGTCACCCCACAGTCGGCGCTGCCCGAGGACCCCGGGGGCAGGTTCTCCAGGCGGCACCTTCCCGGGCTCCTGGTTCACGCTGCTGGGACATTGGTTGGCTTGGCCTCTGATTGACAGGTGCCCTGACCAGAAGGAGGGGGAAGGCTGCTAAACTGGCCAACCACAGATGTCCACTGGGCTAGCGTCACCAGTTGCTGGGTAGAGTGCGTCCTCTTTCCCACCGCACTCCCTTGCAACCTGCTCGTGGTCTTTTCCAGCCCATACAGCGCCTCCCTGCCTCACCTCTGAGGAAATCTTGGACAGTTTCCAATACATGTTGGGTCACTCTGGAAAAGAAGAGTCCTGTAGTGACTTTTAGCCACTGTTACACTCATTAAATAAGGAAAATATGCAGTCCAGGGTAAAGAATGTGTCTCAGAACTTCGCTTAACCCCAAGCATCTCGCCTCCCTCGGCTCCCACCCCAGGTTGTCTGGCCCCGCTGGTTTGGAGCTGGGGGAGAAAGGGGAGCGGGGTGGGAAAGGCGCCCCTTGGCTGATGCTGTGGAGATCTGGCATGAGCCTCTGGCCTGGGCAGGCACAGGTGCAAAACTCACTCTCCCTCCCTGGGGCTGTTTGTGGGGTTTTTCTAAACAGGGAGTTTCTAATTGGACTCCCCAAGAAGCAGGCAGCGCAGCTCCTCCAGGTTCTCGTGACAGCCTCCTCAGCCTTGAGCACCCAAAGTCCACTTCTCCTGCTTGGGTTCCAGGCCCCTCCAAGCTCTTGGGCTGAAACTAAAACCCTCCCGCCTGGCTCCCCATGTGGTCCACCCACCCCGTCCCCACCCATGGACTGGGCCCCGCCTTTTGTGTGGGCTTCTTCAGGAGTAAGCTGGGCACCAGCCTCTGTACCCCACAGACCCCGTGTGACGGAGGTCAGGCTTCCAGTCTGGGTGGCTCTGTGGCCCCTCTCCCTCAGCTGTGGGGAGGAGGCAGCCCTCAGGGCTGGGCGGGTGCGTGAGAATATGGGGTGCTTGCCACCTGCTGTCCCCTGGAAGCCTCTGCAGCCTCAGCTGAAATGAGACAGAATCCCGTGTTAATCCTGTTGCCTCGGTCACGGCTCCGTCCCATGGAGCTGAGGCTTGGCTTCGTATTTCTCCTTTGATGGCCCTCCAGGGAGCCATGTGGGGCCGGTCAGAGTTGGCACCGGGGACAGCACAGGCACACTGGGCACCAGCAGCAGACTTGGAGGTCTGTGTCAGACCAGGGTTAGAGCTGCCTCCTACAATGGGGAGGTGGTGGCAGTTCCTGAAGGCCACTCACAGCCAGAGGGGAATGTAGCTCAGCCCCGCCCAGTGTCAAGTCTCTCCTCAACATGGCCTTCCTCTTATCTGATTGCTAGTTTAATTGTATTGTGGTCCTTGTGATGCTGAGTCTTTGGAATTTGTTGAGACTTGCTTTGTGGCCCCATACAGGGTTTTGAAAATGTTCCCTGTGTGCTTGGGAAGAATGTACATCCTCTAATCGTTGGTTGCGGGGCTGGATACGTGTCTTATGCCTATCACTTATTGAGAATGGCGTGTTAAAAATTCCCACTGTGATTGTGAATTATTTATCAATTTTTGCTTAACATAAGCTGAGGCCGTGTTGTAGGTGTGTCCAAGTATTGTCCTGTCTTCCCGGTGAGCCCTCCATTTGCCATCGTGTAGTGACTCTCTTCATCCCTCCCGGTACTTTTGCCTTAAAGTCCATTTTTATCTGACATTAGTTTAGCTATTCTGGCTTTATTTTATTTTCCTGGACTTCCTTTCACTTTCTTCTCTTCTCCCGATTCCCCCTTATTTTTTTTTACATCCTCAAACTCTTGGGTTCAAGCGATCCTCCTGCCTCAGCCTCCGCCATGCCCAGCTAA